CCGCCGAGGGGTGTCGGTGCGGGCTGCAGCAGCGTGGCTTTGTTGAAAGTCACACCTTAGCTATGCCGGGCTAACAACACACCTTAGCTGTGCCGGGCTAACAGCCTCCTCGGGTACGGGGGTTGTCGGCGGCATCCTGAGGTCCCGGTGGCGGGCAGAAGCAGCGATGGCCACCGCGCTGCGCGGCCGGTTCTGCCTGCTGGGATCTGAGCCGGGGGAGCAGAATTGCCTGGTCAGCAGCGTCACCGAATGCGGCAATATCGATGAGGGGGTCTGAGCTCTGCTGTATGTGACTAGATTTAAAGTACCTATTATCTTAATATTTTTTTAGTAGTACTGCCTTTTAAGCAGTCCAAGCATCGTGTCTGTCCAGAGTATCAGTGTTTGAGAGGGCCATACGATCATTTAGTATGTGCTAGATCTCGCCATGCTGCTGGTTGAATGCTATTTCCAGTGTTTGCTGAGCGATGGCAGTCATATTCTCGGTGTTCTACACCGGGGTACGTCCGTACCCAAGCTGAAAGCGTGCGTGCAGCACGTGGAGGTACAGCTTGATGTAATGTCGTTTCTTCAGAAAACAGCAGGGAAGTTGCAGTCTCACAGAAACTGCAGACTCTTTGGGCCCCTTGAAATGCCAGGTTCTTCACCGGAGTAAATAGCCTGTTTTGAAATCCATTCTGATATTGGCTTTATTGCTATCGATCCCTTACTTATCTAAATTACAGCTAATTTAAGTGTCTGCACAAGCTGCAGTCTTGTCTTTATGACTAAGCCTACACGGTTTGGGCATTCTGAGTCTGCTTCATATTTTCTTAGATAAATTTGCCCCGACGCTTTCAGAATCTTTTTAAGACTACGCCAAAGGGAACGACGTGATTATTCCTGGCCGTTCAGTCCAGCACGTACCCACCACATTCTGAAATAGCGATGTGAAGGTTTGATGCCTAATTCAATATCTTCCGCTATCCAGAAATCACAAATGAAAATATATGGTGAGTTATAGTTCGCTGTGAAAAGCTGAAATTTATTTAGATAAAGCTTTGGGGTTATTTCTCACATTGTTCTGTAACTCATATTAAAAACAAAGAGTTCTTTCTATTAGAATTTTTGTAGCACCTGTAGATTGTTTTATGGCTTAGGTTAAAGGCAATAACTAAGATGTCAAACTAGATTTAAAAACTTTTTCTGCTTGCCGTGAATAAGATGCATATTTGCCTGATGCCACTTAAAGAAGAGTTTATTTCTAATGGGAAAAGGGACAGAAATAGTCTTGGTTTGAATACCGGAGCGTAACATGAATGTATTTAAAAGGCTGTCAGAGGGATTCATAAATTCTAGAATTTGCACAAAAGGCAAGTAAATGTATTTTTAACATAAGTCTTGTTTCTCTTTTGAAAAGCAATGCACATAACATCCTGTTTCCCATAATACAGAAAGTAAGAGATCTTCTTAAATGGGTTTCAGTGGATAGTATGCAATATTTCGTTACAGAACAAAAGTGTATTCAGCTTTTAGTCATATTCTGAGGATGTAACTGCCCATAGAATATTTTATCGGTCTTTGCAAGTGTCCAGGACAGGAACCATCAGACCCTTTTCAGTTAACAGAGTTGATCTCCGAGACACAATTGAGTAGGTTTAAGAGAACATGATAATTTAGAGCAAGAATGGATCTTGTGGGTGCACTTATATCTAGTCTAGCAACAGCAGTGTCACAAGCAACTCCACCAAATCCTCCCCTCTTGAATGTGTCAGCCCTCATTTTCTAAGTTGAAGGGCAATTTTCCTGTTACTCCTGTTAATAGGTTGTCTCACCCTTGATGTCCAATGGTCAGGTATCTATTCCCAGTTTTCCCATTACATTTGTTTATGGCCATCACTGCAAGCTTTCTACATCTTAAATATCTCTTCTCTCTGACGCTGCCTTCATCCCCTCCTCAGTGTCCTTCTCGAGAAGTGGCACATCTGAAGGCTGTAGAGAGAGCAGTAGCTCGGTCCAGAAGAACTTCGCAGGCAGAGGGAGGATCCCTCGCCAGCTCTTCCCAAGCAGCTCAGTTCGGTGCAGCCCAGGGTGGCCCCGCGGTATCAGAGAGGTAACGCGGCTGCAACCGACCGTTTTACCTTTAGACAGGGTAGTTTACTTTTAGACATTTAGATTGTTTAGTTTTTCTTACTGGGTAACAACTGTTCAGAAGATTGTAACGGGAAGACTAGCGATCTCCGGAGAGCCTAGCACCTGGAAGTAGAAACCACGGCAGGAGCAAAGAGAAGAGTTAGGTGTTGTGAAGCAGGGCCAGACTTCAGGGGCACTGCTGAAAGTCAGCTGCTGCTAGGCTGGGTTGGGCGACTAAGGAATGCGGTAACCTTTTGTGCGTACCAAAAGGCGAAGAAGTAATTTTTGGCCTCGGGCTTTTGAGTGTTCAGTCAGAAAATATATAGCATCACTTTTTAATTTTTTATAATTCTTTTTTTGGCACGTTGCTAACTTTTGGGACTAGCCTTGATATATTCGGTTTGTACTCTGCCAAAGGAAGCTATATGGTTTTGATTTTGTTTGGGGGGTTTTTTTGGTATATTTAATTGTCAGCATTAAGTAGTGAATATTTTTCAGAGCTGTGGAGATTTCAGCCTTTCAGATAAATAAACCAAATCCATGCAGACTTCTTTCTCATTGAAATGAGGGAGAAAAGAAAGTGTTGGTAGCAAACTGAAAACATGATATTGGCAGATAGGCCCTTTTCATCTCCAGAGTTTCAGGAGGGTCTGTTTAACCGTGGTGCCAGTCTGGTGGCTGGTCCTTGCTGATTGCCATTGCCATTAAGTTGCGTGAAGTGGTTTGCTTTGTGATCGTAGTCATCTTAAAAACCACGTAACTGATGTGGACAAGGTCAGAACTGCAACAACTCAATTAGAGTAGTTTGTCATACTGGGTAAAGCCAAAAGTATATTAATGAATTGGACACTCAATACTTGAGCACTTCTTGGCGTTGAAGGGAATTCTGCAATGGGAGCCCGTCTTCAGAACGAAACAGTTGGTGCAGGGGACCCAGCATTCCCACTGCATCTGTTTTTTGGGGCGGGGGGGAGGTATTGTCTATAACCTAGATGTGTAAAAATGAATAAACAGGCAGTTTATTTACATATTTTGTCAGCTGTCATGTTTAAAATATTTATCACCCAGCTGCACTGGTGTTCTGCACGCAGCGATAGTATAGCTGCGTTATGTAGGGACACAAGATTCATTACGCTGAACAGATGAGAACGTCCAGAGGACTCGCTGCTCCTTTTTATTCTCTTCATATTTCCCCTCTTGACAGGAGTTTTGAGGCTCTCTACAACTGCGTACAGAAAGCATCAAGACTAAAGACAGGCTTCTGCAGATTTTTAAATTGTTAATAATTTACTTATAACTGCACAATATCTATGTTTGGGACTAGAGAAAGTACTTATTAAAATGTTTGCGTGTTTAGGGACTGTCAGGAGAAGCAGCAAGCTATCATGTTGTTAGAACTCTTTAAGGCGGATTTTAAATAGAAAGGTCCTGCCAGAGAAATTGTCCCCTTTTGCTCGTGGCTTTGCTCTTGTTGTCAGAGCAGCTGTGTCCTTACTACTTGTGCTATTTTCCCTTCCGTTTTTGACAGCAAAAAAGGTTGTCAGGAGCAATAGATATTTATTCTAGAATATTCAGAAAATACATAATGTAACGTTTTGAGAGTGGCTTGCTTTGATTCATGCCATTCCATTAATACTGATTTAAGAATATGAATAAATCTGGTAGCAGACAGCATTAAGTGCATTTAGTGCAAGATCATTGGTGCTCTTAGAGACACTAATAGATCTATACAGGGGAAAATAAAAACATAATTAGATTTTCAGACAAAAGTAAATTATCAGTTTTCCTCTAGAACTTAATCATCTTTTTAGTGATCAGATGGATAGGTAACCTAGTAGTTAAATGTTTGCCAGTGTTTCCATTTTAAAAATTTGGGCATCTGCATTATAAGCATTCATATTTCATTTCACATGTACACTTGTCTGTGTAACATGTTTTACGTCCAAAAGCAGCAAGTGCCGTATTGCTTTCAAAATGTTTCTTATATATTGTGTTCAAACAAATGAAAGTTCTTCCATGTTCAGATTTCCGTTTTGATTTTTAAAGCGTGGTTTAGTAAGCAGTGAGGACCTCAGGATGAGAAGATGCCACTTTTCTTTGGCAGAAGTATTTAAATAAACTCTTGCAAGGGCTTGAACTTCCTATTGCATCCTAGTTTTTCTGACTGCATGCTCTCATCGGATTCATGCATCCCATAATACATATTTAAAACATGTATGAACAATATTTAAGAAAACAGAATCAACTAATAAATACAAAGTTTAAAGAAAAAAGTGCGAAGTTTTTCTGCCACGTCCAAAACAGCTGCAATAATGGAACAACGCAAATCATGAACTTTTCATAATAAACTCATTGGAATTTTGGATAAAGGGTGAATTTGATGAATTATGAAGATTGCTGAAGAAAAGTATCTATTACATTAGATCAACTCAACAGGGAAAACATGAGGGAAGAAACTTAAAGGCAAGAAAACAGGCAATTGACTTATAAACTCACAGCGTGTAAAACCACAATAATCCTGACCTGCATGCTGTGTGCTGTTCCAAAGCAATAAAATGGATTGGTGCAAGCCATAAATATTAAAATAAATAAGTAATTGACATTATACATCTTTGAACTATTGGAAATACCACGTGGTAGAATTCTCTTTCATACTCACTGTAGGCTTCAAATTGTCAAAACGCTGTTGATGAAGAAGATTGCTAGGGGAGGAAAATGTATTAAAAGTTTGAACTGAGATAATTTATAGTGCTTTGTTGTAAAGAAGCCTGCAGAGTTGTAATTATCCCCAAAACAAACATTATAAACCCTGGAAATTTAGAACTAGGATCATATTTTTGAAGTTTCAAATTCATGAAGGTATGGAAGTGTGTAACTCCGACTTGCAAGGCAGTTTTCTCTCCAGCTATGGTGACATCTTGAGGTGGGACATGAACACCTGGTTTTGTCGTTAAAACAGCAGTGGTCATTGAAACTCATTCGTCATAATTAAAGAGTTATTATCAAAGGAGAGGTAAAATGCCTAAGTGCAAGAGGAAGTAGCGCTGCAGTTTTACATTGCATTTGAGGTTTGTAATTTGTTACCCCTGCTCCTTTAGCAGAGTTAACTTTTTTTTGTGGCGCGTGGTTATTTATAATTGAGCAACTTTGAGGTGGAGA